CTTACATTTGATCATTCAAGTTTTTACATGTGATCAAACTAGTGAGTTTTTATTGATGAATAAAAAATCTCTCTCGCAAATCCAGATGCATAAACTATAGGAAAGGAGGCCCCAAAACGAGATGGAACATCAGTCCATCCATAATTTCTCGTCGACTATGTAAAGTGGGCTTTTGGACATAAGAGTTGTAAAATTTCAAAATAAGTGATTTTTTTTTCAATTGAAAATGGTATTTGAAAATTAGAGTTGTGTTTGGACATAAATATAATTTGGAGGTTTTTCGTTCTTATACAACATTTGAAACTTATTTACCTAAATTATTCTAATTTTGTATATTACCTGCCTTAAACAAGGATTACTTACAAATTATATACATCTATATTATATTAAAACCACGAAGACCCTTAGCGAAATGTCGTTCGTCTTTTTTACCCTTTAAAAATAGAGTTTGCATTGGATAAAATAGTAATTTAATTATTTTCTTAATACGTAGAAATACTCATTTTATTATTTTTCTAATATGTAGGAATACTCATTTAATTATTTTTTTAATATTTAAGACTATAAAATTAACTAAATTTTATATATTACATTCTTCCTTATTTGGATTACGTGGAAAAATTTAATATTTAGAACTTCAAAAATATTAACATTTTATTTTATATAAATGTTTACACTTAAATTATATATAAATGGCAAGAAAATGAAAGAATTAAAAATACTAACCAAATAGGCCGTAACCACTTGGTATTTAGAAGTTTATCCCTTTGGACAAATATCAAGAATTCAATCAGAAAAGAAAGAGGACGTACGACGTCCTTGGAAGATGACGGAGTAACTTTTTTTTATGTTTTGATTTAGGTGGAACTCTTTTATATACTAAAAGACTTTAAAATATACAAAACTTCCCACTCATTTGATTTGCTTACAATTTGACAAAAGAATTTTTATTCGATAAAATATAATTATAATCAAATATTTATAATTTAGTATGAGCTAATATTAAGAATTTACAATAAAATATAATTTATATCTTTTATTGCTGAAAATAAATAATTAAGTATTTGGAATAACTAATTAGAAAAAAAATTAATTTTATTATTTTTCAAATTCATTACACAAGTAAAACTATCTTCAGGTCGACAAAAATCTTGGCTTAAATAGATATATTTCAATAAAAATGACCACCGATGATGAAAGAAATTAGAAAATAAAGTCAAATTAATTATAATATAGTATTCAAAATTAACTTGGTTAAAATTCAAAATAGAAGAAATAAGAATGAAATAATAAGTTGACATTTATTATTATTTTTATTTTTCATCTATTCCAATAAATGGCCTTCTATAGTTTTTTGTATACATAATAAGTTATTGGTTGTAAAATACACATTTAGTATTAGTCAGTTTTATACCTTACATTTTTACTTAATTATTCATTTTTTTCCCTAGAAACTATATAACCTAGCCGTTCATTCAAATAGCTCTAAAAGAAAGATACAATTTTTTTTAATTAGTGTTAATTTGATAACTCTTTGAAGAATTATAATAAAAATATATAACGATTTCGATCATGTTAAATTTATTATTATGTCACAAAATTTATTATAATTTTTGTAAGCTTACCCCAAAGGATATGCTCTTCAAATTAATATAAAATATATGTGCTCAAATATTTTACGTGTGAACCAGTTTCTTCTAAAAACTATATGACGACCCTCTTTATTCCAAATCTCTAAAAAAATATAATTATTTTTATTGATGGCCTTTTGAAGAATCATAATAAAAATACATAATAAAAATCGAAATTTAATTACCAAAAAACAGATATATCAATCATTTTAGATTCAATATCATGTTACATGAATTACTACAATTTTCGTAAGATTGTTTCCAAAGATATGCCCTTCAAATTAAGAAGAAATACGTGTTCTTCAATCGAAATCTGTATCGATCATTTTACCTTTTAAAAATAAATTTTAGAATTGTTATAAATCTAATTATTTTCAAATATAACGACAAATGGAGTTAATCAATATTAGAATTATTTAGAATTCTAATTCCACTTGAATAATGATATATCGAAACTAAATATACTCTTTCAAATATAATTATGAGTCATTCTCCGATGTATTTTACTAGCTTACTTTAGTATTCTTTTTGAATGTCTTTTCTCATTTTCAGGGCACTTTGATTTTGTGTTCATCTGAAATTCATGGATTATTAGTTGTTTGCTATATGTGTGAAGTTCTATCCACTATTTTTGGTTTCAATGACTATGTGTACTACTTAAACTGAAAAGGAAGCATGCTAACTTTATTTATTAAAAAAGTGGCATAAATTTTAACTTGGATTATTAAGTGATGATTGAGGATTTCTATGAGACGTTTTTTCTTAATTGAGTTAGTTATACGTACAATGTCAATATTAATGACTATTGTTAGGAACTTATACTTTTATTTCATAACTCAAACACTCATTAAGATAGGATACACGTGCGATGCGCGTACCCTGAATGATTTTTTTTTATTATATTGAACGTAAAATTCTTATTGGATAAAATTATAATTACAATTAAATATTTAAAACTTGGGACGAGCTATTATTAAGATTTGAATCAACAGCAAAAAAATCTCTTTAACGTTAAGGACAACCCTATTTAACCAAAGAAGTCTTTGATTTAACTAATTTACAAAAAATTCAAGTCATTCTTTTCGAAATTTATAATAAAATAGATTATAATATAGTAGTAAAAGTCAAACTGTTAAAAATACAAATGTTAAAAACAATAAGAATGAAATATTAGAAGACAAAATATATTCTAAGTTAGTTGCCATTAATTNTTTCCTATTCAACTCCAGCTAATCTTCGTCACGTTTCCCTATTCTCTGTTTCCATAATCGGCATATCAACTATTTCTTTTAATTGCAGAGTTATTTTGCATTCCTTAGTTGCCAGCATGGTTTTCCTTAATGAATATAAATTGTTTCGTTCATTGCAGAATTCTTGCTTTTCTCAACTGACTTATCTTTTTTCTTTTCACCTAGTTCATCTAAAAAATTCGGAACAGATTTTTGCCATCCGCCATCTCCTTTTTCAAAGCTTCTGTAAATATTCCCAACTTTTGAAAAATTAGTTCCGGCTTCACCAAGCTCTTTTTTTATTGAAATTTTAGAGAGGAAGAAGCACATACCACAAACATGACATGTATATCAATGATCTCGAGATTAGTTGGAGTTGAAGCGTAAGTAGAACAGAGAGATGGTAAATTTGTATGGTACAACAACATACAAATTAAAAAAAAATCGTAAAAATTTAATACAAATTTGATACATCTACAACATCATATAAATAAAAATAAATTTTATACAACTAATTATATAATATGCAACTTATTTATAACTGATCTACAACTTTTATACACACTAAAAATAAATTTTATAGAACTAACTATACAGTATACACTTATTTACAACTAATCTATAACTTTCATACATTATTTCTACCTAGTTAAATACAACTACAATATCATACAACTTAAATACAAATTTTATACGTTATTTTTTTTGTATCTGATTTGTATATATTTTGTGTGTGGTGTGTGCTTCTTTCTCTCTAAAATTCCAATCAAAACTTACTCTCTGAATACAATTTTGATACATATCAACAACTTTATGTAAAAAGATAGTATTGATAACTTAAATACAAATTTTATACAACGATTTATACATTATACAACTATTTTTTAACTTTCATACAACATTCAAATAAAAATATATATAACTACAATATAATACAATTTACATGCAATTATACTACAACTTTACTACAATTTCGTAATTATATTGTATGTCATGTGTTCTTCTTCTTCTTCGAGTTTCAATCTGAAATTCAGCCAAAATCAAGTCTAATCTTCACCAAAAAACCCTCAAAATTGAGATATAAACTTCAAACAATATTCCTAATTGTTTGCAATAACACCCAATCCAAACAAATAATGGGTTTTGATAACCCAAATTCGATTTTAAAGTTTTTTAATGGCTGTCAATGGTGGAGAGTCAAACCCCTTCAAAATTTATTGATTGACAATTTTAATTTGAACACCAATTGTGCAACATGAAAGGAAATTGCTAATTTAAGGCAATTGAAATCCATTGATAAATTCCATTAAAACTATATACAACAAGAAAACATAAAAAAATAGATAATACCAAATGAAGAAAAATTAGGGAAAAAACAGAGGAGAGTAAAGAGACGAAGAGAGAGAGAGAGAGAGAGAGAGAGAGAGAGAGTATGGACAAGTATAAAGGGGTAGGGAAATAACTTATATTCCTTATTCAATTCCATAATATAAATGGATACTCATTTAAAACTTATTTGTATATAATTAGTAAATTATATATGACCATGTAATTAAACTGAAATTTGAGTAGAGAGGGTAATAAGGTTTCAAATAGTGTATATAAAGGTAAAAATTCTATATAATTTTGGGTTATTTTTGAATTTTTGTGAGTGATCCGAGTGAAAATTTTGAAAAACAGCTTTTTGAAATTTTTTAAATTTTCAAAAATTTTAAAATTCATCTTCAAATAAAAATTGAAAATTATATGGCCAAACATTGATTTTAAAAAAAGTGAAAAAATTCTTATGTCGAAGCGGGCTCTAAATATCTTGAAGTGTAGAAGTCCAAGGACTTTCAGGATAATGTGTTAGTGTTAAGAAAAGCGAAAAAATTGAGAAAGCGGATCTTTGTGTTTTTTTTTTAAAGTTTGCAGTATTTTTGTCCAAATTTTATATGCGCATGAAAGAATAACTATATTTCAATTACTTTTTGAAATGTGGCTTATTTTCAAATAATAATTATGAATATGGCTATTCGCGAATTTCCTCCATTTTAGCAGGGCTAGTGGACTATTTGATCATTGGGCCAGTCCTTCAATCTTTGTGGGCCTCAAGTACAAAGAACTAACTAAAGTCTTGTTTGCTTCTGAAAAACAAAAATGCAATCACAGTTACGAAACCCAAAACCTTGCCCTCTTCCCTTCGTTTTTTCTCTCTTTTTGTGAGGCAAAATTTCACCCAAAACCTTACCCTCTTCCTTTCTTTGACAGAACTTCAAACTCCATATGGCTAAAAACAATACAAAAAAGCGAAAGCTCATCAAAAAGGCAGATTCCATTAATGCTACACCCTCGAAAATCGACAAAAAACAGAAGAACAACAAGAAGCAGCAAAAGATACTCAAATCCAATAACCCAACCCGACCCGATTCTGATTCGGACTCCGACCAGCCGGCACCCGTTAAACTCCAGAATCTTCTCGAACCTTACTCTAAAGATCAACTCCTTACCCTAGCCGTAGACACCGCTCTAGCTCACCCTTCCTTTTACAACCTTATCAATTCAGCTGCCGACAATGACATCACTCACCGGAAAATCTTCATCTACGGCTTAGCGCGTGAGACCACGCGCCAAACCCTAATCACCGTTTTTGAACAGTTCGGAGAAGTCGAGGAATGCAACGTCGTGATGGACCATAACACTGGCAAGGCAAAAGGGTACGGTTTTTTGGTCTTCAAGTCCCGAAAATCGGCCGATAAAGCGTTAAAAAAACCTCAAATGACAATCAACGGGCGAGTGGCTACGTGTAAGTTGGCTGCCGTGAAGGACGCTGCCGTTAATGGGACCATGGAGTTTGGTAATAGGAAGATTTACGTGAGTAATGTGCCGCGTGATGTGGTTCCGGAGAGATTAAGGTTGTTTTTTGAAGAGTTCGGGGAAATCGAGGCTGGACCAATGGGGTTTGATCCAACAACTGGGAAATCAAAAGGGTATGCTTTGTTTCTGTATAAAACGGTTGAGGAGGCGAAGAGATGTTTAGAAGAGCCGTGTAAGGTGTTTGAGGGGCGGAAGTTGTACTGCAAGAAGGCTGCTGAGCCAAAAATTGGTGGCGGAGAGGCCAGTATTACGACTGAGGTTATACAGCAGCCCCTGCTGGCAATGCCATCAGTTGCAGCTGCTCAGAATATGGGGATGATGGGTCAGAACCCGAATGTGGCGATGATGAACCAGTTGTATGGTGGAATGGTTGTGAATCCTTATGTAGGATTTATGAATCCGTTTGTAGGAGTTTATGGTGGGATGTTGGGTAGTTTAGGAGGGGATGTTTCAGGTTTAGGGGCATATGGTGGTGTTGGTGGTGGTAGCAGCATAGGTGGTTCTAGCAGGGGAGTGGCGCCCGGGTTAATACAGGCCTACCCAAATAAGCATGTTGGCCAACCTTCACCTGCTAAGCTACCGGGGAGTAGTGGCTACTCGTCGCACTTGTGGTACTTAGTCATCTATTTGATAATACTCGTATTAAGTACTCCATTTGTCTTCATTTATGTGGTGGTATTTGGATACGGAATTTTAAGAATGAAAAAAAGAATTATGAAATATGTGGTCTGAAATAAGTCATAGATATTTGTGTGGCTCATTAAGTACTTCCTTTGTCTTCATTAATGTGTTGTCGTTTGATTGGACACGAAATTTAAGAAAGAAAAAAAAGAATTTTGAAACTTGTGGGGGTAAACCAAGCTATAAACATTTGTATGACTATATATCATTTCATTATCAGGTAAAATAGAAAATTTAAAGTTCAACCCTTTTTCTAAATCTAGAAAAAGTGTCATTCTTTTTAGGACAAATTAAAAATGAAAGTGTGTCACCGGAATGAAGGGAGTAGTACTATGTTTGTGTTAAGTTGTCTTTTTGTTCCGTTCTTACTTTGCAGATCTTTGCATACCAGATTCCCAGTATTGAAATTTTTTTCATCATGTTTACAAACTCTTAAGAATTTTCTTTCCAGAAAATGCAGCTTTTCTTGATTTTTTTTCCTACTAACATGTTTGCTAGTGATTTGATTAACTACGCGGATTTGGTATGCTAGAAAATCTGTAAAGTTAGGTCGACTAGGTTAACACTGTTGTGTTTATTTTTATTTACATGTTTGGCGTGCGGTAGATGTAAAGTTCTTCATGATTTTCTAAATATTTCTTGTCTCCGAGTGCCTGGTTCTGCTGTCAAAAGCATTCACTAATTGGTATATCCTTGTAATTAGCGCCTTGAATGTGTTTTAGATTAGTTATAGGTGATGTGAAATGGGCATGAAGTGAGCGGATGGGTTTAGAGAATTCATGTAGCCTACTGAACTAATTTTGAAATGAGGCTTAGTTGATTGATCGCTGACTATCTCAAAGACCGAAGAGTTCTCTTAGAACTTATTTTTCAGTTGTAGTGAGCTAAAAGGCTATATTAGCAAATTAGTGTCTGTATGACATGTAAATTCTACACAAAAAAGTCATTCAACTCGTGATGTTATTGTTCGCGCTTGAATATACAAAGATGTGTTCTTAGTTTGAGTGGATTGTCCAGTAGCCGTAGCTTTCCTGTGCTTCTTTCTCTTTCTATATCAGTTAAATGGTATTTTGATTTGCTTTTGCCTTCTACTTAAATCCCGCCCCTTCTCCCCTTATTAAATGTATTAATACTTGTGCATGATCTTTGCAGATGAACAGTGCCTGACCACGAGGAAACAAAGTTATTGAAGCGTTGATGAGTTTCTTATGGTCAATGGCTTGGTTTTTTGTTATTGGATTTGTAGCCATTTGCCTCTTATTCCTTTACTTTCATACCTCTTACTGTTAAGCCAAGTTCCTACAGGACTTGGCAGATTTTATGTCTTGTGTTTTTTTTTATCGGTGGATAAATTTCTCAATTTTTTCTTTTAGATTTATTTTGAAGTGGATTTGTTCATTTTTCTTGATTTTATATTTTTCTGAGGTTTGCGCTATGGTGCCTTTTTGATTTCTTTTGTTTCTCTCATTCTTCTCTTTTTATCTATTATTTAAGTGGTATCAACAGATATCTCAGGTTCATGATCTGGTGTACTTATTAGTTGACAATTTTGATATTTTGCTGTTTTACTATCTTTTCACATTTTCTTTTTGTGAAAATTTGTTCCATGGAGCTAAATAGGCCTTTTTTCTCTTGATATTGTTATAATCCATTTCTTCTTTTGACTTTTTGTGGGCTGTATCCTCTTTTCCCCTCTTTGCATGCAAAATCATGCCTTTTTGAGTTCGTAAAATTCTTATACGCGTCCGACTGGATGTTTTCTTTTGTTTATTTTCAGTCTTTTTTCTTAAACATCATTCGACTGTTTAACCAGGATGATTCAGGGTTCATGGATGTCTATTGTTAAGTAATAGACGATTTTGATATTTTCTCCATTTTACCTATTGGTATCTTTTTTTAAACTTGGGCTTTGTTTTCTTCTTTGTTTTCATGTGTTCATATGAAAGCTAACTAGGCCTTTTTCGGTATAGGTATTAATTCATTTTCTTCTTTGCCTCTTTTTGTTGATAAATAACTTTTAAAAGAGAATGAAGGCCATATCCTTCTGTCACCTCCTTTGCATGAAAATTCATGCTTCTCACTTTTATTAAATTCTTATGTAGAATTTTGAGCTGGATGTCATTTTTGTCCTTACTTCCAACCAAGTAATTTTGATGTTGGGGTATGTTTTCATTGTTCAGCTTATAACATTGAACTTCTGGTTTCTGTTTGTATTAGTATTAATCTGTAACAATTTTTTTAGGTTAGATTAGTAATTCCTGTAAGGCATACTTCCCTTACCTTTTCTTGTACTTTGTTGCCTGACAATCCTTTCGGTCAATTATACTTTTAACAGTATGAGATGAGCCGAGAAATGAAGTGCTAAAGTTTCTTTTTCTGCATAACTTTCCAGACCAAGCAAAAACTAAGAAAATATCTTGCATTAGTTTCTTTCTTTCCTCTCTTTTTTGTCCGCGAAATAAAGTTTGATATCTGTAACTTCAAGGATTCTTCAGCAGTTATCAGCTCAGCTCATATCATCTGTATAACCACTACCTATTATCTTCATCCTTTTCCTTTCATTCTTTACCTTGGAGTAACGGTAAAGTTGTGTCTGGTCACAGGCTCGAACCGTGGAAGTAGCCACTAATGCTTGTATTAGGTTATACTGTCTACATAACGCCCCTGGGGTGCGACCTTTCCCTAGGCCCTGTCTGAACGCTGAATGCTTTGTGCACCAGGCTGCTCCTTTAATCTTTATCCTTTCTGTCGTCGTGTAACTTGGCATACTGATGTTTCAGCAAATATCCGCAAATGAGATTACTAGTTTAATTTCTGCTGGCAGCACTTCTTGCCACAAATGTAGATAGTTCTTATCCTGAAATGAAAATGGTCAGAAACATTTCAAGGTTACCTTAAGATTTACTTGTTCTTATTTTGTTTCTTCAGCTGTGAACTTCAGTTAAGTCATTATGCTTTGAATTTGATTTGTATCAGAAGCAAGACTGCCTTTACTCGTATTTCATACCGTGAAAGCCTTGATAAAAAGGGCAACCCGGTACAGTAAGATCCCGCTATGCGCGGGGTCCGGGGAAGGGTCGGATCACAACGGTCTATTATTCGCAGTCTTACCATGCATTTTTGCAAGAGGCTGTTTTCACTGCTCGAAACTGTGACCTCCGCCTTGATATTTGGCCTAATTTTATAGAGCTCATATCAATTCATGTGAGTTGGATGCTAATGCGACCTTTGCTGTATCACTTCAATCTTTTTAAATCAAGATCCTTATTTTTACAATTTTTGCTTTTTGGTGGCTTCTACTTTGTTTCTCGTTTGCTACCTTGAATTTAATTTTCTAAATATATTGTCTTGCTATTACTTGCTATCTGTACCTCTTTCATATTCTCTGTTGCTATTTTTGATTTAGTTTTCTAATTATATTGTCTTGCTATTACTTGCTATCAACGCTTCTTTCATCTTCTTTAGTCGAGGGTTTATCAGAAATAGTCTTTTTGCCTTTCCAGGGTAGGGGTAAGGTTGCGTACATCCTACCTTCCCCAGACCCTACTTGTGGAATTGCACTGAGTTGTTTTTGGGTGGTTACTACTTTGTTTTACAATACTAAATTCTTATCTTTTTTTTTTTGTGCATATTTTTATAATTTTCCGACGAAATGATGTCATCAACATGCCTCCCCGCCCCTGCTGAGAAGTGTGATAATTAGTTAAGGGTTGATTAACCATGGTGTGATAATTAGCGAGTAGTGAACTTTTAAGATTTTTGGTTATTTGAGTAATTAAATGGTGACTTGTAAGTTATGTGAACTATTGTGCTTTCAAGAAAAAAGAAAACAAAAATCTTCTAGAGATGCCTTGTACTAACTATAGTTAATTACCAGCTATGGTTAAGTTTGTGTGGTTTAGGAAGATTATTACTCCTTAATGAAGCTCATAATTGATGAAGTGAGGTTTTTGGGCCTCCAACAGTGGGGTTTTTTCGTGTATATATGGGATTTTAACACAAATAGCCAGTGATTTCTAGTCACTATACATAATTATACACATACAATATATGAATTATATATATTATACATCCGCCGATTATTTTTAGTTTAAGCAATTAGTGGGCGGCTATTTCGGTTAATTCTTTATTTATTCAGTTTTAGCTAGGTTTGCTTATTTATAGAAAGTAATTAATTTTTTAATAATACATATATATATATATATATATATATATATATATATGGTGAAAATTTATAATTTATATACAATTTGATGTTGATATCACTTAGCCAAGAGAAGAGATAGATCAATACTTAGTTGGAACACTATAATGATGGTATATTGAGTTTTTACGTCAAATCAATAGGTTTATGATATATGTTAGCATATAAACTTCTCTCACTACCATAGTTAATTGTTATTATCTCATTAAATAACTTAACTATGATAAATTTATATAATTTGGTGTAAACCTTCTTTGCAAGTAAATTTTATTATATGGTACAAATGTACAATCAATGATATTAAGTTTGAAACATGGTTAAATGCGGCTAACTCTTGACTTTTCCACTACCAAAAGTTAATATTATAGGTGCAGCCTAAAATTTGCAACTTCATCTTAAATAGAAAATTTCCTTATATAATTGCCGAGTTAATATTTTGCGGATTAATTTAATCTAAGTAATTGAAAATGACAGTTGTTGTATTCTTTATTCTTTAATTGTACACCTTATCCTCTATAGGAGAACCATTCAGAAACTAAGGTTTAATGTGATTGCCAAGGAACAGAAAGCAGCATAAATATTCAAAATCATATTGGATTATTTGTTAAATAGCCCTTGCCTTTTCTTTTTTATTCTAATATTTTGAAGATGTCGTGGAGATGTGCGTCTCGTACCTAATTTTAATATTATTCAAGATAAATGATAGAAGTTGTCTTTGCCTTATGAATTCTCCTTGTCCCAAAAAGAATAATTGGATTTTCGAAGCTCAAATTAATACTTGAGTTGAATCAAATGTTAAAATATTTTTATATGTTTAATAATTATATATAGGACGTGAGGGAGGTGCCTCATACTAAGAAAAAAGAGCGAAGGAAATAGTCCCGAAAGAAAGGAAAGCTAGGACATGAAGTACATTCCCCCATCAAAGAGGTGGAGCTAGTTAGACCACCCAGGGATTGACAAATCTACAGTGGAGGGTCTATCTTCTTCTGAGCGAGTTGAACTTTCTGAAATTGAAATCAGAACTTGAATAGAAAAACAAGTGGACACACCCGCAAGGATACCCATCTGGAAACCAGCGAGTTGTGTAAAACCTCCTTTGTTGTCTTGTTTGCTTTCGGATAAGAAAGATTAGTCCCTCTTCCTATGATGAAGACGTGCTAAGTGATTTCCGAAAGCTCCCACAGACAGGTACTAGGGGGGAAAACTAGTGGAGTTATTGCTTTCAAGGTTCTTACGCATTGGAACAAATGAAGTGAAGTTTTTCAAAAGACTTGTTTGAATAAATGCCGCTTATTTTAGTTTACATTCAAACCAAAGTAAATCAAGCTAAGCGGTGACGACATCTGGAAGAAGGCTTTCTGCTGAGGTTGCTTCTGACGGGGATTAAACCCTTCAAAGGAATTTATTCTATTTCTTCTTCTAAAAGGCAAGGCTAAGCCATGCGCCTTTAAAATAAAGCGAAGCAAAGCGCATGGCAAAGAACAGTCAGCTGACCGCGCCTTCCACTCGGCCTTTCTTCGATATTCCTTTCATTCTTTTACCCCCTCTCTTCTTAGTTGCTCCTCTTTCTAAGGATCTAATGATCGTAGACCACCTTCTTATGACTACTTGAATTGGAAGTTGGTAACTAAGTGAGAAAATGGCTCTAACGAAACTAACTGAAAATAAAATTATTAACCACATTAACTAAAAATTAAAATGTGAAAAGAGTAGAAAATGATTGATCGTATTGGACAAGTGATTCATATTTCACTAGAATTATATTGCTGATGAAGTTCTAAATAGAGAGATAAATTATCGTACACTTCTAAAAGATATATGTCATTAATGGAATTTTCAACTATTTAGAACCCGTTTGGACATAAAATTTGATGGAAGATTTTTCCAAAAAATTTTTACTTTTTTTCGAAATCAGCGTTTGTTCATAAAATTTTCAAATTTTCACTTGAAGATGCATTTTGAAAATTTTCGAAAATTTGAAAAACTGCAAAAAATTATTTTTCAAAATTCACTCAAATCACTCACAAAACTTCAAAAACAACCTAAACTAAAATTTATGTCCAAACACAACTCTAAATTTCAAATACCATTTTCACTTGAAAATTTTTTTCACCATTTTTTCGAATTTTATAATTCTTATGTCCAATCGCCTACTTAGTTGATGATGCTATATTTTATTTGATAGAAGTAAGATAAAGGTAACTCACCACAGAATTATATACGGTTAATATATATATATATATATATATATATATATATATATATATAGATCTTTACACAAATAGATGAGTGGATTCACTATTTAGTTTTTCTAATTTATATACATAGATTATACATTAATTATATATCGTTATACATAAGTATACATGAACTATACATATATTATATATCTGCCGGCTGTTTTTAATTTAAGCGGTGAGTTGTCGGCTATTTAGATTAAAGTACTTCACCAATCACATATTCATCTAACGAAAATTATTGACCGTTCATATATAGATAAACATTCCTTATGAAGCCACAAACAAAGTCAAGCAAATGAGATCCAAATATGATAAAACCCCACCAAAATCCTATTGAACCCTAAATCATAATAATTGCATGATCCAAACATGGGGTTTGAGAATCTAATAAATTCTTCAAAGAATTCCTATAATTGAATCTTTACATATTGTGACGCCACCTTAGCCACTCTTAGTGATAAATCCACTTAACTAGAGTGCACTTGAGAGGAAAATGGAAAAGAAAATATATAAAGTTGGGGAAGTATGACGTATTTTTCCATATAATTTTACCTCCAAACAGAGAATGTGAAAAGGAAAATCACTAACAAAAATTATCATATATCCATTGATAGGTAGGTACCACTACCACCTTTGCTTGTTGATGTTATTGTATCTTTACACATAATTTCAGCAAATGACCAAATTAAACTGTTATCCTTATTTAATCTTATCTCTTTTGGCTAAGTGGATAAATTAATATTGGCTAGCTAGACATCTTTGCTTAATTATGTTAATTAGGGTTAGAACCATGTTGTACACGGATCTTTAACCATCAACTCATTATGGACAAGGAATTATCTGCAAATTCCTTATTACTTCCGACAAAGAGAAACTCTAGTACTAGTTAAGAGGCGGAGCCATGATTTGAAATTTGTATTTGAGATTT